GGGGAGGGGAGGGGAGGGGTCCCCGGGCACGGCGGTGCCACCCTGGGGACAGGGGACAGCGGTGACACCGCGGGGACAGCGCCGGGGGGGCTCAGTAGTACGGGGGTGGCACTGCGGGTGACACGGGGGACCCCGGCGGGTGACACGGGTGTGTCCCGACGGGTGACACGAGCGACACGGTGACCCGGGAGGTGACACGGGTGTGTCCTGGCGGGTGACACGGCGGGGGACACAGGGGACAGCTACACCACGGTGCCACTCGGGGAGCCGCCGTTCTGCGAGGACAGGCCCTGCGGGGGGAAGGAGGGAGGGAGGGGACAGCGGTGTCACCGGGGGAGGGGACACACGCCACTCCCTGTGACGTCACCGCGGGGACACCCCGGGGATTCCCCCCCAAGGCTCCGCCCCGTCCCCAAAATCCGCGGTTTGTCCCCCAAAAACTCAACCCGGACAGCCCGAATCCCATCCGGGACACCCCAAATCCCCCCTAAACCACCCCAAATCCCATCCGGGACACCCCGAATCCCCTCCCGGACACCCCAAAACCCCCTAAACCACCCCAAATCCCATCCGGGACACCCCAAAACCCCTCTAAACCACCCCAAATCCCATCCAGGACACCCCAAATCCCATCCGGGACACCCCGAATCCCATCCGGATACCCCAAATCCCCCCTAAACCACCCCAAATCCCCCCTAAACCACCCCAAAACCCCTCCGGGATGTCCCAAATCCCCTCTAAACCACCCCAAAACCCCTCCGGGACACCCCAAAACCCCTCCCGGACACCCCGAATCCCCTCCCGGATGCCCCCAGACCCACGGGGAGCCTCGGGTCGCCCCCGGGGACAGACGAGCCTGTCCCGAGATCCTGTCACCATGTGGTCCTGGTGATGCTGGGACCCCAAAATCCCCCCAAATCCCCACTAAACCACCCCAAATCCCCTCTGAGAGCCCCAAATCCCCTCGGAGACCCCCTAAATCCCCTCGGAGACCCCTCCCCAGACTCACAGAGACCCTGGGCCGTGCCCAGGTGCAGATGAGCCCCTCCTGGCAGGCTGGCACAACACAAACCTGGAGCTCCTGACACCCCAAACCCCATCTGAAACCCCCCAAATTCCCCCTCAAACACCCCAAATCCCCTCGGAGACCCCTGCCCGCACTCACAGAGACCCCGGGCCGTGCCCAGGTGCAGATGAGCCCCTCCTGGCAGGCTGTCACCATACAATCCTGGAGCTCCTGGCACCCCAAATCCCCCCTAAACCACCCCAAATCCCCTCTGAGAGCCCCAAATCCACTCTGAGACCCCCCAAATCCCCTCGGAGACCCCTCCCCAGACTCACAGAGACCCCGGGCCGTGCCCAGGTGCAGATGAGCCCCTCCTGGCAGGCCGTCACGATGCAATCCTCCAGGAACAGCAGCACCGTCAGCCTCTCCTGGGCGATTTTCTTGCACACCAGCGGCTCCAGCAGCGGCACCTCGTGCAGCCGCGGGCACAGCGCCGTGCCCAGCACCTTGGCCATGTCCAGAGACCCCCGCGAGCCCCCCGGGCCGCCGCCGGGGGGGGGTTTCTCGGCGTTGCCCCCTCCCCGGCTGATGTTGCCCAGGCTGTGGTAACGTTTGTGCTCCTTCTCGGGGGCGCCGCGGGGGTCCCGCAGGGTCAGCGTGGCGAAGCGCCCCACGCTCAGCACCGGGGGGACCCGCGGCGAGACCTGGGGACCCCCGCCGGGCTGCGGGAGGCTGTTGGAGCGGGACAGCGAGCGCGGCAGCCCCGGCACGGAGGGCGGCGGGTCCCCGGCGGC